TTAATTTGACTTGCTGGAGCGTAATGGAAATCGTACAGTTCGCTGCTTGTAATTGGTTAAATGTTAAACAACCTTCTTAAAACATTTAGGGAAACAAAGCATAAAATATATATCACTATCAAAATCAAAATATTTAAACAAAAGAAAAATGTATTTGACGACAAGTTGGCACGCGACCACTACAGCTTGAATCTTGGATTTTCTCAAAACCATCTGTGGAAAACCTCGAGAAGGGAAGGATCGTAAAGGATGACCAGGGTTGTCACCTGATATATATCTTTATGGTCGCTCGAGCGAGCCCTCTTTAACCTCCCTCCCCCCAAACTCTTCTCTCTCTCTTTCTCTCGCTTACTACCACCCTAAAGGATCGTTTCCACTATCCAAAACGGACCTTTCTTGGGTTTTCCTCACTGAGGTGTTACTACCTAACACCACCACCGTGTTGGTTTGCTATGAGCGAGCGTGTAAAAAGCGTTGTGGAAGAGGGAGGATCGCGTAATTATGAGGATTAATCTTAAGTCCCGTAAAGTCCACCACTTGTGGAGCTTGTTCCCTTTTCTCTGTCGCGAGATATCTCTCGTTCTTCTCTCTCATCTCTCGAGTCTTTTTTCGGTAGACTGATAGCATGAAAATTTTATCAAATAACTCAACAAATCATCAGTAATATAAGCAATAAGTAAGAAAGCGTTAATCTGACATGAGTCTGTTTTGAATCTCAGTTATAATCCTTCTGTACTCTGTACTCAATACCCATGTCATTTTTGTAAATACCACTCGACATATTAATTAACATATTAAAAAAATTATTATTATATTATCATTATATATATATATATATATATATATTTGCATCTATCTGTATCCGTCCGATTCGAGATTTTTTTATTTCCCTCTTTGCAACCCCACAATAATCATAAAACTAATTTCAAAATTAAATTTTAACGAATTTGAAAATATCTTTATATGATAATTTAGTAAAAAAAATAGTAGATTACGTTAAATCTTTTAATATGTTTTTTTTTTGGTTTTACTATTCCCATGATGATTCTTTTACCCAATGAATTGAAAAATATCTTTATGATAATCTGATAAAAAATAGTAGATTACGTTAAATCAACAAAATTTTCGAAACTCTTACTTAAAACGTATAATTCTTTTAATATATTTTTTTTTGTTTTTACCATTCCCATGATGATTCTTTTACCCTTCGTCTCTTTTACATTTCGAGCACATAGGTATCATGGAGTAGGTAGTACGTACTCGTATGTAGAATGTCGAAGCTACAGGTGTCAGCGAGAGCAGTATTTTTCAGTGAGCTCGGCTTGGCTCAGGGTATGGGCGATAGAGAAAGAGGAGAGAGCGTAGGGTAAAGAGCAGACAGAAATGGGATGAGGAGGAACTGGAAGAGGGAGCTAGGGAGAGAAAAAGAGAGAAAGAGAAAAAGACGTTTCTCCGCGGTAGGGTAGCCAGAGTGCCGGCACGCACGTTGAATCTGCTAAACGTTCTCGCTCGTGCGTGAAATGCCTCGATATCACTGTTTTATTTCGACTCGTTCTCGTTCATCGTTGCTCTTTCGCTCCCATGCAATTCCGTCCTTTTTACCCTCGTCCCGTTTGCTACTACCGTTCACTCACGCAACCCTTTCTTTCTCTCTCTTTCTCTCTGTCACTTGTTCTCTTTTCGTCCTTGTGCCGCTTGTGCTCGCTCGCACAGATTTGATGACCCTTCGACGCGATTTTGCTTGATCATTGAAATCGCTTACCAATGAATTATATTACTCTTCCTCTCTAAGTTTTTTTTATGGTTAACTCAATGAGCATTCGAATTAAAAATAACCACGAAATGTTCTCGAAATCAAACGAAGCCTTTAAAAAAAAATATACTTATTTATATACGTTTGAAACGTATTACTTTTCCCAAGTGGGCACTTGCCTGCTTGCTTTTACTCTTTCAACGAATATAATAATCCAAAGAATTCAATGAGTCTGACCCCGCGTACAATTTTTAAAAGAGAGAAACCAGAGTTAAATTTGTCGAGAGTATCCTCTTCCTTTTTTCTTCTTTTTTTTTTTATAATAAAACGATATTTTTGCGTTTGACAGGGAGCACGAATGGGGATAATGAAACGTCGATGAAAAAGAAAAAAGTCGACGAGTCGATAAATCGCAGAATGGCTCCTCCGGGCGATTTAATTAATAATTATCGGTTCGAAAACGAACGCCAAGGCACAATGGCGATACTTCCTCCTTGGGTAATCCTCGGAAGATTAACGAGCCTGCACCGACAGAGCATCCTCCTTCCCTCTTTCTCTTTCATTCTCCTTCTCTCTCTGTAATTCTCTCTCTCTCTCTCTCTCTCTCTCTCTTGTAGCCACAAGACGCCAGGGCGCGCCTTGCGGTGGTTGCGGCAAGAACCCCTCGCCGTACCGCATTAACGCAATTATGAATTTGTCGCGTTGGGATCTGACAATACAAGATGTTGCTACCATTCCCCTGCCACGATGTACCTCACTCTCTCTTTCTCTTTCTCTCTGTCTTCTACCTCTTGTCGTTACATGGTCCCTCGCCTATATCTTCCATGTCCTACACTAAAACCAACGTTAAGTCCTATAAATATAACCTGCTGAACGAGCGTAATGCTTAAACACTGTTAACCGACGAAAGACAAAACTCACTTCGATGACACTTTATATTTCGAGTCTAAGAACAAAAGTTTTGTATTTCTTAAATAATATTGTAAAACTCTTGGATTATATTCTAAAGGTTTTTGTAGATTTTTTTGGGTGACTAAATGAGTCTGACTTTCTTGTGTACTCGTTAAACATTCTGACCGGAAGACGAAAGAGCAAGTATAGTTTTGAGTAACCCTAACTTAGTTTCGAAAGGGTGTCTTGGCGATAGGTACCCAGAACTAGTAGCAACGGGTAGCACCAGCACCAGCAGCAACTAACGGCAGCAAAAGTGGTTACGACGAAGATGGTGGTGGTGTGCAGGATAAGAGCTATGAGAGAGAGTGAGAAGGAAACGAAAAGAGCTTTCTGATAGCGGTAGAGGTACCATGCGGTAGCATAGAACGGATGGAACGAGAGGATCGTTGCGGCTGGCCACAGGCAACTGCTGCGACCTGTTCCTCTCGCGACAAATTCCTCCGACCGTGGTCTCTCGTCCGCTCTCTTCGTCTACTTTCCATTCTCTTAGCCACATCGAGCCGAACTACCTTCACCACACTTACCATCCACCATCCGCCCAACCTCCTCTACCTTTATACCATCAACCATCTTCGCACACTTTGACTATCCACCAGGAATTTACAATGCGCGAGAAAATCAATCGACCTAACGACCGACAGAACAGCCGAGCCATGCAAGAAACCAAGGCTACCTTTCTCTTTCCCTTTCCATCCTACTACTCCTTCAACGGACCTGAGTCTGCCACATTATAGGGAAATGGGTTGGCTGGTTGGTCTAAGCACGATGAGCTGTAGGAGAGTACCTAGGTCGACCCTTAATATCGTAAGAGCTGAATCCACGCAAACAACCCGGTACGGTCCTAACGTAACCTTCGGTTAAGCACTGGAAAGCCCCCGGTGTGTTGCCGCTTCGACCGCCGCTGGCCCTATTATCGCTGCTAACTAATAAGGGACCTAATTGAAACGTCGGCCTTTTGTTTTCGATACTCGACCATGGGGCTCTCTCTCTTCCAAAAGGTTATACGATCTCGAGACCGTCTGAAACCATCCAGCAGGGCAATGGTCATCGAAAATCCTTCTTCGAGTACTACCAATCGTTTGTTTCAATATGTCCAGATAATTATTTAAATTCATCAAATGATTAATTATAATATTTGTGTTAAACTTTAGGAATAATTGTTTCGTATTATACAAAAATTGCACAGGGGTGTATATACGAGATTCTCCCCGTAATATCCATGACTATTTTCTTTTGAAAGCTGGGTAATAGCTTGAAAGAAAAAAGTTTGATCAAAATAACGACCAGAAGTAGATCATTTTCATTAGGTTTCATGTACTTCATCGTCGTCGTCGTCGTCGTCGTCAATGTTGTCGCCAGCGTGTTCGTCTACGTTCACGTTTACTACGCAACACGAAAGATTACTTATGTATTTTGTATTCTACGTGCACCAATGTACCATACGTGTACGTATAACTCGAAGCTTACTCGATGCATGCCCACTCGATGTAGTAGAATATTATTCCTGGTGGACGCAATCATATTAGTTTCCAAAGTTATTAGAATATTTATGCGAACCCGTCGCGAGGTTATGCATGATAGCAGGGCCTTGCCCTCTCTTCTGTCTCGCGGTATCGAATCACCCACCACCACTACTACCATACTACTAGCAACCCCTACTACTACCAACCCTCAACAGGAGAGTTTTACTAGGATCAATCCTCGACGATTGTCATTTTTCTCATGTAATTTTTTTTCTTCATGATATTTTCTTCTATTGTGGGATTTTTTATAGTTTAAGCGAGTAATATTCCGACAAATTTCACGAATCGACGTTTGACACTATCTTGCCGTAGAAAGAACTGAGAAAAAGAAAGAATAAAAGAATGAGAGAGAGAGAGAGAGAGAGAGAGAGAGAGAAAGAGAGAAAGTAAGCGGTTTTTTCGTAGAAAACTTTTGCTATTCTCCAATGTTCCTTTACGTAACTTCGAAGCACCGATGCACGAGACGGGATATCCCAGCGTTACGATATTAAAAGCTAGAAGAGTAGTTTTTCCACGGACGCAGAAAACTTTTCGTTCGCATGAGAGAGAAACGAGAAGAAAAAGACGAGGGTGTATGTGTGTATGTGTGTAAGTTGCTCAGAAAGCGAGACGAAAGTGTCGAGTCGTCTGTGGAAGCCAATGGAAGCAACGGCGAATAATATTCTTAAAATTCTTATAGACATTGTTGAAAAAAAATATGTTGCCTTCTAAAGCTTTTTTTAAAAAAGATATAAAGATAAAAAGAAATTTGTTATGATAAAAATTCTTACCTTGCTGGCGTGGATTGAGACTGGCTATTTGCGAGACTGCCGATTGCTGTTGTTGTGGATCGTCCAATAGTCCGCTTTGACGTGATTTGCTCAAATACAACTGAAATAAAAGAAAAAACAAAGACATCATATAATAATATTACAACGATTTAATTATAATTATATTCAAACGTAATAATATCTTAAAATCAGTTGAAATCTAGCACCCAAGTCATATCTCCTTTAACCCTTAGAGTGCTATGGACGTATACATGCGTTTGGTAAAAATTACCAAAGAGGTCTATCGACGTATATACGTGTTTGGTAATATTAATGTAAAATAATGTAATGTTTACATTAATTAATTAAATTATATTCACAGAAAGAAGAACTTTAATTATTAAATATAATTTATTATTAGATTATAGTTAACTTTATAACCAATCTAGTTATTAACTAAAATAGTTAATAAAGTAACTAATCTATTAAATAAATAATAAATTATTTTGTTCTTACAAAACATTTTAGTTAAAAGTATTCAGCATTCAAAGGGTTAAGATATAAATATCTTTCAAATTCGATAATCCAACTCCCTTTATATTAATAAATAAAATAAAATCTAAAAATAAACGTCTCTTTCTTTACTGTCATCGTCAAGGTTTTTCTTTTTTTGGTTCTTTTTTCTTTTTCACGATTTTGCCCTAACGTTTTGCCTCGATCTTAGCCTCTTTCAGCAATATAAGGAAGTCCCTAACCGTCCGATCATAGGATTTGGGTAACCCGATCACGTACTAAGGGTGAACCATCTCCTTTAATATCAGAAACGATTCGGACCGAGTTGCCTCCGTATAAAATAAAGGGCTGACATGAGAGTAGCATGGTGTGCTATAGAAAACGAGGAAAGGAAGAGCAAGTGCTATAGGGATGCTAGGCAGACATCACAAGCAAAGTGAACGAATACGTACGAATACGTACGAATACGAACGAACGAACGAGAGATGAGGACCGTCGAGTGGAAGAGTGTAGTTTCAACACTGCGGTGAGGGATGACTGAGCGAGTCGGTTAAACGCGCGTCTTCTTTCATAAATTTCGAAAGGGGGCTTTAGGATAAAGCTTTAGAATACATCGGTCGATCCGTTATCCAGTCTGACGTAGGAAGATAGCGTTAAACGAAACCTTCTATGAATAGTTTCTTCTTCATCGAAATGGCTCTTTTATTATTGAACTTATCTCCTTTTCTTTTTTTTTCCTATAATTATATGACAAAATTGATAAAATTTTTTTTTGTGTACTTTTCAAATTTCAATATTTTTCTTAAAAGGAATTAGTATTTGACGCAAAATTCTTTCTGCATAAAATAGCTTCAATAGGTTTTTTAAATAAATAAGTATTCAATAATATTTATTTTAAATTTTTATAATATAAATATTTTATTTTATTTTTTATATAAATTTTTTTTATATAAAATTTATATAAATTTTTTTTATATAAAATTTATATAAATTTTTTATATAAATTTATATAAAATAAATATTTTAATATAAATATAAAAATAAAATTTAATAATATAATATTAAATTTTTATAATATAAATAATTTATATTATTTTTTACATAAAATTTAAAATATTTGTTATTTATATATTATAAATATATATAAATATAATTTTAAAAATATTTAATATTTTATTACAAGATAAAAATATAAATTTATATATATAAATTTATATAAAATAAAAATTAGATTAATTTTAAATTAAATTGAAGATTAAATAAATAATTATTGTATATGTGGAGAAGGAAAAAGAAAGAAAGCTGATAAAATAAAGATGTACGATATATTTTTATCGTTGTTAGGGTATCGTGAAAAAGATACTTGATAGGAAGGAAGGAAGGAAGGAAGGCTGTTGCTGTTGCCTTCCGTCATACATTTGCACGTTATAAGAAAAGACACGCAGCAAAGTTACTGCGTCGAAGACCGGAGGATGCAATATGAAAGTAGAAGAGCGTAAAGAAAAAAAAAGAAAAAAGAGTGTTAGGAATGGTCATAAATACGTCTAGAAGATCGCACAAATCGCTCGTTCGAGGCCAATCTCTTTCGATGTTTTCCAACGAAAGATACGAGAGGGAACCCTTCTTCGTCTCTTCGAAGAGATACGCGCCAAGACATTTCCTTACCCTCATGTACACAACACATAGACGACCCCATGTGTAAGCATATAACGTCCAGTAATATAACACTTGCGATATGGAAAGGAAAAGAGAGGTGGTTTTCGAGAAGCAAGATTGCTAAAGGAAGGAAAAATCAAACCAGTCAGAAAGCCAGTCCAATTTCTCAAACTTGTCCAATCCGCGTCGTATGCAAAATCAATCACTCGCTACCCTTACCGTATTTCCCCTTGTTGGCCATCGTAGTCGTTTGCCACACCGTAGAGTGGTTTTGTGATTTTAGAAATTTAAAAAATACCCCATCCGACTATTTGACTTTTTGAAAATAAGCAAATGTTAGATAAAAAGAAAGAGGGTTTAGGTATCATTTTCTCGTCGTCTCTTTGAACATTTCGAATTTCCATAGGTCGATCGAATCCATCCACGTTAATTGTCACTCCGATGAGTTTCCAATCCGTAATAGTGATTTTCAAGGCCGACCATGTTGGGTACGGCTCGAAAAAAGTAATTTGTCCTTTGGGACGCGAACTTCAAAGTATTCACGGTACATTTGTTCCACGAGCGGGTGGTTTACTGGTAACACTCTCTCCGTACTTGTCTCCTATCCTTTTCTACTTTACGTGCTCGTCGCTTATCAGACTTGCTGATTTTTTTCCCGTCGGAAAAACGTCAGACGTAACGTTGTCCACCGTTAGCTTCGTCTGTCCACGTTTCTCGTTTGTCACGATGCCCAAAGTAGAAAAGCCGAAAGGAGGGCTTTTTTTACCCAGAAGGGGTGCGAAAAGTTTAGCATACGCATTTTGTACATTGAAATCTCGACACGCTCGTCCAACTTTAAATTGAAACCCGTCCACCATCCACCGTCGCCGTCTCCGCTGTCCTCATCGTAGTCATCGTAGATAGTTCGATGTTCTTACTGTTGTTGTTTGTTGTTGTCTTATCATCTTTAATAACTAAACTGAGATATTCATTTTTAATCCAATCAAAAATTAAATTCATCTCGCGAAAAGCAGAAAAAACCCTAAAAACTGAGCTCTTCATTTCGACACTCATTTTCACACAACAAAAAGAAAATAAATTCGATCCCACTAATAAGATACTAATTACTATACTTTTCTTTGATATATAAGATATTCTTCTTAAACATTTTTTCTCCCCGACATTTTGTTTTCTCACAGATATCAATCTATCTCTCTCAATCTTTCGTACCTTCCTTCCTTCCTTTCCATCTAGCGCGAATCACTTCTTCTCTTTTAGACTTCGAATTGTAATTAACATTTGGTTCTCCCATTAGTGTAATTAAAGTGCCATTCCATAATCTAGGAGGTAGGCGAAAGAGAAGAGGGGCACCTTATCTTTCAGACTTCAGCCTTGGCTTGCGGGGGTTGTTTCAAACCCCGCCGGGCGTCTCCCAGCCCCTTTTTCGGGTAGAACGACCGGTTGGTGGGTGCTTGTAGTTCCTTCCTTCGGCGATAACTCCTTTCTGGAAAAGGACTTACCGAGCTATGAAAGAGGAAATAAGAGAAAGAACGAGATAGATAATGATAGAACGAGGAAGAAATAAGAGATGGGGTGGAAAAAAATAAAGAAGGAAAAAAGAAAAAAGAACGAGCGGACGATTAAAACGTTTAGAAATCCGATATCGAGTATTTTTTTACTTCGAATAAGTTTGTCTTCTGTTAACCTCCTCCCCCCACCTTCTACTATATTTTCTTATCCTAGAAGAAAACAAAGAAATGCATGCCTTTATTCAAAATCAGGATATACAGGACAATTATCCTATCTACGAAGACCACGAATGGACGGGGTCAAGCTCAGGGACGGGAACACTGGTGGGATTTTGTATTTGCTGCAATGAACTTTCGAGTTCCTAATGCCAATTAATAATAATAAAAACAAAGTTGACTTTTTAGTAATAGGAACAGGATATGTATTATTACTATATAATAAAAAAAAAATGAAAACGATAAAGATTAAGGTTGTAAGGAGGCTTTGAGAATAGGAAAAAGGAAAAAAATGACACAACGAGCTGTTCAGGGGGTGCTAAAATAAAGAAAAGCAAAGAGTAAGAGAAAAAAAGGGAGAAAAAAAGGATAGATATTGTAGAAAGAAGAGAGTGAGCCCGTGTCGGTTGACATTTTCCGGTGGTTAAGTTAATAATGCGCACGGTACACAGAGCAGCAGAAAGAGCAAGGATGAGGAGTAGAAGAGAGCGTCAACGAGGGTGAATCGGCAAAGTGCCATCATAAAGAGGCGCGGATGTGTTTATTCGGGAATTTGCCTTTTCTCTTCTTCTTCTTCTTTCCTCTTTTACTTCTACGCCTTGAAGCTACTAGGAAGGGTGTAGTAGTAGTGGTAGTAGTACGAGATATTATCTTATTTTCAAGGACGATCTCGTTTCTCTCTCGCAACCCGATTTATATCCTTTCGTTCAATGGTGGTGGTGATGGTGGTGCTTTGAGGAACGACGGGAAAAAGTGAAAGGGAAAAGATCAGAGGAGAGAAAAAAAAAGAAGAGAAAAAAAGGGGTGGGAAAGATTGGAAAGAAGTTACACAGATAATAGAGAGGGTTCTCTGCTTCCGTGCAGTATCACCGAGCAATTATTTTTCCTTACAGTTTCGTGAAAGAGTTTTTTAAGATCGTTCACTATTATTATTTGGTCAGTGGACCAAAGGAAGAATATACGAAAAAGCTAAGATGAGAGAAAGGGAAGCTTGGGAAGAGATGAGGAAAGAAGGATTAGCCTCGTCAAGTGGGTGAGTCCGTGACAAAGACGTTAAAGTGGTTTAAGGGGGATGAGAGAGATATATCGTCCGAAATCTGGGGTGAAACACTCACGTTTTCAGTCTCGCGTTGTTCTCTGTCATGACTGCGACACTAATGGCATTTTTATTATTTCTCTCTGGAGTCTGGTAGAAAGAGAGAGAGAGAAGTAATGGCCCGTCTCTATG